GGTGTTGGGTTTTTTTAATGTGTTTGTTTTTTAAAAAAAATTAATTTCAAGTGTTATGATGGACTCTATTGTAGATTGACAGGATTGGGCTACAATGTGGATGGTTATGTGGCAATATAAAAGGTAATGCTTTACAACATGTTATAACCTTAACAGAAAAGAGACAGGCACTTAAATGGCAGCATCTGTCTGTGTCCAGTCAAAGAAGATAACACCATTAAACTTAAATATATTTAACTCCTAATAGCTTGCTGTAGTATCAACTTGTGCAGTATTTGGACCTTTGTCACGGCCTGCTTACACATCACATGGGAAGAATTCGGTATAGACTCTCTTATGTCCAGGTACAGAAATGGATGTCCTTGTCCATAGGCATCAAATGAGATCTGTAGGAAAAAGGCTGTGCAGGAAGGATTTTTGTGACTCTTCAAAGAAATGAAATTCATACGTAAGCAGTACTGAAGGCAGCGACTTCAGCTTTATCGCAGGCTGAGGTCTTCCTGGTGATGATACTTATCAGAATGCGGTGAATTCTGAGCCTGACCTCCAATGTTGCTGAAGTCGCTCTTTGAGCTGCTGGTAGGAAACCTAAAGACAACACGGAAAGTATGGTCTTCTTTTTTAATTTGGGGAAGGGACTTATACTGAGTATAATGAGACTGTGTAAGCACTGTATTAGAAAAATTTGACTTGGAGATAGTCTGAGGAGTTATGTTTCTGTTGTATGCAAGAGTCATAGAATGTCTCTGTTAATGAATGTACTTTTTCACAAACTGATGCAAGTAAACAAGAGCATCTGCGTAGGACAAAACTCCCTTGTCTGTTCTGACCACAAATCCATTGGCTACAGCAGTTACTAAGCATCCTCGAATAACATGACTAAGGAAACAAGCATTGCTTTGGAGATAGGGGCTGGCTCAGGCTCCATGTGTTGGAAAACAATACAATAATCATCCAACTTCTCAGCTGAAACTCTTCAGTCCCACCACTGTGGGGAAGTGCTGCTCAGCTGTCCTTTGTGATACAGGGCCCATGCCTTATTCTCAGAGGACAGTTATTTACCCTGTAGAACTGTGTCTCTTTGAGGGATGGTTGTTTCAAATCTCATGAGTTTCCCATTTTTCCATTTTTGCAGACTGAACTTATTACAGAGCCTCAGTTCAGAAGAAAGTGAGGGAGGCTTACAGTATCCCACGCTTTATGCCTTCATTTGAACACAGGACAATGCAGTCCTAGTAGCCACTGTTATTGATACTACTCTGAGAATAGTGTTCTCTATAGTGTGATCTACACCAGCTACAGCTTCCTGAAGGCTTGCTATTAGTAGGTTTATTACTTGAAGGTGTGCTATTACTTGCTAGGCAGTGGAACTCTGCAGCCGAGGGCCCCAGAGCGGCTTGCAGATTCATTGCATGTGGCTAACAGCTGTGCAATTTGCTAGCTTGCTTGTTTATTGCTGGGTAGCACTGTGGAAGAATGAAGGCCAGTTTGTTTGTTAGTAAGGAAATGGTTCCTATACTGATGGTGGCTAAATAACAATGATTTTTGGGAGGGAGAGAAGGGAATTTCTATTGAAAGTTGGCAAGGTCTTGTGCAGTGAGAAGCTGAAGTCTTAGGGAGGAATCTAACAATACAAGTAAGGAACTGGGATTGGCACTTGGCAGACAATGAGCTTGAAGGAATCATCTTTTTGAACAGGAAGAGGAAATAGTTTTGCTGTTAAAGGAAGCCATGTTGTTGTGGGACATTTGTCAGATGTTCAGTAGTGCAGGTGAAGAGAAAGTGGATGGCGAAAGTAATGTGGAGCTGGGAAACAGAGACAGACCTGATGAGATGGGAGACAGGTTGAAAAAGGGGAAGAGGAGCAGTGCTCTGCTCTATGGCTAAAGGAGTAAGGTGGGGAAGGGAACAGGGTTTCTGGGAACAGAGAGGGGGAAGTCAGCTGGACTTAGGTTTTACTTAACATATCTGGTGTGAAATGACAGTTGTAAGAAATGGAGAGAGGTTTAAATGTACCGCTGCTTCTCTGACCAGTCTGGAAAGCTCTGTGTGCTAACAAAGTTGAGTTCCAATTCATGATTTTGAGGAGGACTTTTTCCCATTCCTCCCTGTTTTCTGACTTGTCTGTGATATTTCTCTTGCTATTTCCAAAAGGAAGTGATATAATCTCTGTAGTCTTTGTTAAGTGTCTGAGCTGACAAGACAATGAGAATGCTAAATGCATGGAAAATCAGGTGCTTAACTGGAAGTTAGTAAGTTTCCCAAAGTGTATTTTGAGAACTTGGAGTACAGATGAATTTGTCTTTAATATTTTACCAGTAGTTTCTAAGTCTAATTTATTAATTCTTACATCATTCTGTATCTTCTGTCTTTATTTTTTCCTCCTAAAACAGGATGATACCCCTTTCGTCTCAGACACTGATGATGAATCTTCATGGCCAAACACAGGAATATGTAATCAAACCCAAATATTATCCAGTAAAAAAAGTGGTTTCAGGAGAACAGTCCACCGAGGGCTCATTACCACTGAGACTGGGCCAGGATCAACTTGCATCCCCTTTTCAATGTGAGTAGAACTGCAAAAAGTGTACTCCCTTCTTCCCCCTCCCAAAAAAAGACACACCCCCTTTTTTTTAAAGATCTTGACGATTTCTTTTGTTCACCTGAATTGCAGTAACATTTCAAGACAGAAAAAGTTTAAAATACTTAAACATGAGATAATTCTTAGATTAGCAAATGCTCCAACATTCTGCATCCTGTTGAGAGGCAAAACAGATTTCCTGGATGAATAAAAAAAATTGAACCTGATTCACTGCTGGAATCTCATAATGCTATTTCTAGATGGTAGTTTTTCCTTGTGATTTAGTCCCAGCCAGCAGCTAAGCACCACACAGCCTCTCTCTCACTCCTCTTACCCCCTGGTGGGATGGGGAGGAGAATTGGAAGAAAAAGGTAAAACTTGTGAGCTTGGATAAGGACAGTTTACTAGTGTCCTGATTTTGGCAGGGATAGAGTTAATTTTCTTCCTAGCAGCTGGTACAGTGTTTTGGATTTAGGATGAGAATAATGTTGATAACACACTAATATTTTAGTTGTGGCCAAGCAGTCAAGGACTTTTTAGCTTCTGATACTGCCCTGCCAGGAGAAGGTGGGGGGTGCCCAAGAAGCTGGGAGGTGACACAGCCAGGACAGCTGACCCAAACTGGCCAAAGGGATATTCTATACCATATGGCATCATGCTCAGCACATAACTGGGGGTTGGCTGGGAGGTGGTGCAGCTCAAGAACAAGCTGAGCACTGGCTTCGGGTGGTGAGCAGTTGTGCAGTGCATCACTTATTTTGTATATTCTTTTATTGTTATTCTCTTCTGTCCTATCAAACTGTCTTTATCTCAACCTACAAGTTTTAACTTTTTTTTCCCCTCTTTGATTCTCTCCCCCATCCCACTGGGTGGAAGGAGGAGTGAGCAAATGGCTGTGTGGTTGTTTTAGCTGCTGGCCAGGTGAAACTACAACTAGGACAGCAAAGGAAGAGGAAAATAACAACAGTACTTACAATATATAAAATGGGTGATACACAATGCAATTTGCTCACTGCCCGACCCCATGCCCAGCCAGTCCCTGAGCTGTGACTTCTCCCTGGCCAGCTCCCCCCTTATAAACTGAGCATGATCTCATGGTATGGAATACCCCTTTGACTAGTTTGGGTCAGCTGTCCTGGCTGTGTGCCCTCCCAGCTTCTGGTGAAAATTAACTCTATCCCAGCTGAAAATCAGGATGTTCCTTCAGATAAAAGGTGCTTTGTGAGTACTTGCTAGAGTAGGCATAACCATGAGTGTAGTCAGGAACTATAGATGCTTCCCTCTACTTCAGTATGACAGATACACTTCTTGTAAAGCTGAGGTCCAGGATTGTGGTCACATTGGTGACTATTTTTCTCTATATTTATTTTATTATGTGTTTATGAACTTCTGCACAGTATGGAGGCTGCATGAGAGTTTCTGCTTCATACCTATAAAAAAAAAAAAAAAGGATTGTGTAGGTGCCCAGCTTGTGGCCTTGGCTCATGCTCCATTGTGTGGGGAGCATGAGGACAAGTTTTGGCTTAAAAGATGAAGAGTTTCATGAATTATGGGTTAGGTATTACAGAGCGTCTGCTAGTTTGATTTGGAGAAAAGTTCCTGCAGTTAAATAATTGACTGATTAACATGGAGAGACCTAGGGTACTTGCAGTCTCCTGACTTGCTTCCTCTGCTGTAGCACAAAGAAAAATGTTCTTCTGAGGATTTAGGGAAGAGCCTTTCCTTCTAAATCTGTAAATATGGTTTCTTTGTGTGAGTATCTTTGCATTTCTGCATTGCACATCTTTTATGATCTGTCCATTTATACTTAAATGCAACCCCCTGCTTCCTTTTCCTCAAGTGCAAGTTCATCAATGGTTAATTAGAATCTTGGCCGTAATGGGAAGAAGAGGGGGCAGCTGGAAGGCTTTTCGATTAACACTTTCAGAGTGGTGAAGTGTACTGCTTGCAAAACACTACATCCCTCTCTTAGAAGTTTCAAAAAGATACTTAATTGCATTGGTAACATCAACCAATAGTCCCTTTTGCAAATAAGATACCATTACTTTTCTTCCAGTCAGCTGTAATTTTCCTCCAAATGAGATGGTATTGACCACAGGGATTGGATTGTGTCCCTCTCCTCTGGCAAAGAGTATAAAAATGCCAGGTTGTATAGTTCTGCCAGTACTTGGAGTGACTGGTTGGATTCTGGCCAAAAAAATCTTCACTTTTACCCCCTTCTTTCAGGCTGTTTGAGTTAGTCTACCTTAGATACACTCAATGTTGCCTGCAAGTACTAAGCTGCCACTAAATGAATGGTTTGTGTGAGGGTTTGTTTTTTCTTTCTCCTTTCGTAGCGTACTCTAAGACAAAGGAGCCAGTGCTTTTAGCTCTTTCTAGCTTGTTGGAGCTCGTCTGTTGATTACAGTACTCTGAGGGACATGACTAGGAGAAGGAAACCCAGGACCTGAAAACATAGTCTTTGTTATCAAATTCTAAGCAGCCGCTCAGTGAGCAGTATGCTAGTAAAACATTCTACCCTTATTGGAAAGCCTATGATTCCCAAAACACCCAAAGGACAAATAGTTTTTGTGCCCTGATAAGATCTGCTGTGACTTAAGTGTTGCCTCAGAGATAAAATGCAGAACTAAGTCTGAGGGTTTTTGTATGGTGTTGAAATTTCTGGACTCAGTTGAATACTGGACTTTTGAGCAACCTAAAAAAGATCACTTTACCTGTTTTGCCTCCACTTCTACATTTGTGAGTAGGGAGTCAGTGATTGCAACTTCTGATGAAGTCGAATTAAACATTTTTTGAGTTTATGTGACTCATTCAAATTTTCAGAATGGTCACAGTTTTACTCCATAATTAATTCTGTCTCCTTATGCCTAGTATTGTAATACAGTTTTATTTATATGACCATATATTGCCTTTTTCAAAGGGCTCATACCACATTCAGTACAGAAAGAGAGAAAAATCAGGACCCATAAATAAGGCATTGTATAATTTTGAAGTGCATGTCTTTAGAGCTGAAATGCTATTCTGTTTGCATGCTTCTAAATAATCTGTTGATGAAGTTATTTCATTGTGAAGCATCTATCTGATTCTATTTAATCAGTACACTGGTATATTTAAGCTACTGCAAATTAATCTTCGGATATCTGTGTGCAGAATTAGCAAATACTTAAGGATAAGGCTTTGGAAATTCAGAGCCTTCTCAAGCAAATGAAAATAGCTCATGTTGGATAGACTGACAGCTGCAGAGAGAGTATAAATATGGTTTAGCACCAGTAGGAAGATTGAATGTGTAGTGATGAAAATAAGCTTGCAGTGAAATTGATATGATCACCAAAGAATAACTGAAAAGGATGAGGTCATGTGGATCTCAACATTTGTAATGTAAACATCAAAAATACTTTAACATGTAGGTGAGGCCAGCCAAATAGCCTGTCTTATATCAGCTTGCCCTGAGTAATTGTCAAGGGATGCATTGCTTTCTTAAAAGTACATATGGGCACACTTGACCTATAATCTGCCTGAATATTTGAAACCTCAAGGTTAAAAATCCTCTAAGAGTCTAACAGTAGCAACAGCATCAGCACAGAAATTTCAACTGTAAAATTCTGTTTGCAACCTAGTAGTCTACAAAACAGTAGGAAGACGATACTTTCAGTAATTCAGGTACATCTATCTCAGACATTTTCCACCGGTCTTTTAATGGCACTGTTAAATAGTAACCACTAGTTAGTGTGAGCTGAGCATGGATCCTCTAAATGAGTGCTGATCTCCCTGGCTTTATAAATATAATGCTGAAGAAAACTAGTTAATGGAATTCTGTGCTCTTTCTATTGGTCTGAAATGTATAAATATATGATAAGCAAATGCTAAACTCAGCGTGTGCTTTCTGGAATTCCTTTCAACACAGTTATTGTGAGAATTGCTTATTACAGCGGTAAGAGGCTAGGAAGTTCTGATTCACTATATCCAATTCTGGTGTTAAATGGTTCTTCAGAAAATGCATTTAAAAATATGCCTCATTTTCTAGCCTGAGATGGTTGAGGGCTAGTTTTTAGTGGCATTGTGCATTTTGCCCATTGAGATGATAAAAGTGGAATTTCTGCTTCTGGAATCAGTTGTCTGGTGGTGTTGGAGTTTGTGTTGCCTGCCTGTGTAGGACACTTTTGCACACCCCTCACCAGGCTACAGTTCCTCATGTGTACAATGATGATGCCACCACTTCCCTGTCTTAGAGGCATGTTGTGAAAATATATTAATTAGCAGCTGAGGGCAACCAGAAGTTGCCCTAAAAGCAAAACGAAAACTCAAGAGTAGGTAGACAGTGCCTTACCTACAGCTGGAAGGGCATTGCGTGAAGTAAATAATTTTTTTATATAAACACATGCTTTATCCCAAGGACAAATCTATGTTTAAGGAGGAAAATGAGTCTAATCTCTTCATTTAGGAAGACAATACAAAACGTATGTGAATTCTGCAATTGAAGTTGTGTGTTAAGTTTATACAATTAAATAGCATAGAAGACTTTTTTCCTTTCTTTTAGGTAGATAAGGTGGTTTTGGTCTTTACCAAAATTCCTTATAAAATGCATTAAAAAGACTTGTCTGCTGTCTATTTTAGGTAGAAAATGAAAACATACCTCAAATTTAAGGAGTATAGGTTACATAATGGTTAGTGAATACAGGCTTGCAGAACCTGACTATGGCATAGTTGTGTGTGTTGTGGCTTGAAGTCAGACACGTATATGCATATGGGTATTAGATTTCTAGAATCTGCACATGGTTCTGTGGGCAGCACTTAAATCCTTGTGTAAAGATGAAGCTGAAACAATCACAAAAGTCATGTAACTGTTATAATTATTGATACATTATATTGTCTCATATTTAACAACAATATTACATGTGTTTATATACATGAAATAAGATTCATGTGGAAGAAAATGTCCCACCACTTAGAATTGTGATGTGCAGAACACTCTGATACAGTTTTGG